AGCTCCTGCTTACTTCAAAGAGCACTATACATCTCAAAGAGCTACACTGGGCTCGTGAAAGTAACTGGAAAAATGTCCATATTCCAATACTCCACCATCACCAGTCTCTGTGCTTGGGCTGCTATGCATAGAACCCAGCTTCTGTCGTGCTAAAGGAAATGTTCTGTAAGTGAAGTTGTTTTTGGAGTCACTGAATATTGCACATAGCACTGACACACACGGTGTTTTGGGAAGCTGATATGTGCAGGATTTTCCAAATGCTTTCCTTGCTGCACTCATGATGGGCAGTATAAAAATGTAATAATAATAATAATAATAATAATAATAATAATAATGAGCAGTCATGTGAACAAATTTTCATCCAATCAGGAGCTGTCTCCAGTACCTTCCTCTGGCCATTCTGGCTGGGAATTAAATGGGAGTTGCAGTCCAAGACATTTTTGTAGGGCACCAGGTTGGGGAAGGCTGTTCTACAGAAAATTGCATGGCAAATACCCAGCCTGTATAACGAAATTTTACAGCCAGAAAAAAGAAAGATCTACAATCTCCTGCTTGCTCTACTAGGACCAATGACCTGACTGGGGGCAGGCTGGGGGTGGAGAAAGAGAAGAACTGCTTTGTTTTTCATTAAACAGAAGAATCTGCATGTAAATGCTCCTAATGGGTTTCAGACTAGCCTAAGCAGGAAACCAACGATTGTGTGGGGGCCAAGCAAATGCTTATAGCAAGTTCCAGGAAGTGTTACTTAGTAATCTGGCTAAGCCCTCACAAACACAACTTGGATAGGGCAGAGCTGAAAAAAGCAGAGTCTGGCTAGAGAATGAAATGACTGAGGATCTTGCAAATGCAGATGAACAGCTGATCCTGATCATACCGGGACCCAAGACACCGAAAGAATGCTATGCAGCCTCTCCCCGCGACTTATAGGGGACAGCTCATAAATGCCCCTCCCAGGGAAATGGTGTTAGGATGTGAATGGACTGGAATGTCTGAAATCCTGAGCAAATTCCTGCTCTGAGAAAGGGCACTTGCACAGCTTCATGAAAGAAAGGGGGAAGTTAGACCTCAAAAGTCCAAACATCCTTAAATTTACATAGTATTTCTAAATGCATGATCTGTTTTGGCTGGAGGCATGTTGGTGGGGAGGCGGGACAGCAGGGGGTGAGGGCGGAATCGGTGCTGATAGATTGTAAGGCCTGAGGGGGTGGCTGTGGGTGGTGGACTTGGAGAGCAAAAATTACATCTTGCTCAGCTGAGAAGCAACAAGGTGAGCTTTCTTTGCTCATTGCTACATCCTTTATCAGACATGGCTTGTGTATAATGAACTATAGGAATGGATGTGAAGGTCAGAAAAGACTATCACCATCAAATCTGATGAATTTTCTTGTAAGGCTTTACACATTTTCGGTCCATTCATGTATAGTTATCACAGAGTATTCTCACAATAGATGATAGTCTGAGAAGGTTATGAAATTTGTGTGTACTAACACACAAACTGAATGAGATCCGAACTGTACAAATTAGATATATATTTTTCATATTTTTCTATCTAAACATGTATTTAAATTTGTATTTAAAAATGAAAGCAAGTCCAGGAAGATTGAGAATGGTAGATGAACTGTAGGGACAATTGTTATTATTGCTAATACTGTATTTCAAGATTACTGGGAATGGTAGTTAGTTTAGGAGCTGTACCCTGTATCTTACAAGTTGTGGCAGTTAAAACTTCGTGGTCTAGTTCCACCTTTGCAATCTGGAAACTTCAGCAGGTTTAGAAGAGAGCAGAAAGATTATTAACAGAGTCTGGCCAACATGGTCATTTTAGGACAGTGCTTTGTGATCTGCACTGGTTGCCAGTCAGTTTTGCGGCCAGATTCAAAGTGCTGATCTTGTCGAGAGACTGTGAACACAAATGCACTGGGGGCGTACAATCAAAAGATCATTTACAGTATATTCAGACTTGCAGGAAATAAATGCAGCATGTAGGTAGTCCAAAAGGGACGAAGGAGGATTCTGTACAAAATGCTTTTATATTAGTCATGTAAGCAGTTTGTGAGAGGCACGTGATAATGAAAATGAAGGGTTTAATGGATAGGGACAAAAGGTGCAGGGGGCTCAGGAGAGACATACATTAGCATATATAAACCAGGTGTACTTGAGGAATTAAGACTGACAGCCAAGTTTCCTATCAGATTAGGATTCCCATTTTAAAAGTTTGAAACTGTTCTTGTCAGATTCAGGCTTTGTGTGGGATAGTTTTAACCTACAAAGCCCTAAAGTGTGGGGCCGAGTTACCTGAAGCATTGTTATTATCAATATATCCAGTTCCTAGTGTCCTCTTTAGTGGCCTTTCTGGTTGCCCCAACAAATGAGAATGACTACTAAGGAGAGGACCAAGTCAGTGACAGCACCTTGGGTGTGACATGACCTCTTCAGAAGATGCCTACTTGTAGTCTTCTTGACACCATATGGAAGACATTTTTATTTTCCCTAGATGTTTGCTCTTCAGTAGGCACCCTCTTTGTTTTCATTGTCAAGTGCCTCTTCATTGCACTAATGTGTTTTTAGATAAGTTTTTAGAGATTTTATGTTTTACCCTGTTATAGTTTTCGGCTAATGGGCAGTATAAAAATACAATTAAATAAATGTGTAGAGCCCAGCAACACACAGGCTGAAATCAGACTCACTAAATTGTAGAGCTTAACCTCAGTTATACTTAGAAAAGATGGAATGATCTATGTAGGAAAAGAGGAAAATGTCCTTTCAGTTTTAGAAGGTGAAAGAATGGTCACTGCTGAGGATGCAGGCTCTTAGGAAGGTGCACGGAAGTCACTTAGGAAACAACAAACAGCCCACCCTCTCAGTTCCTGAAAGGGAAGCTTCCTGAGGGCCTTCGTTTTACAAAGCTTGCCTTTTGGCACATGTTCACAACAGCTCCTTGCTTTTTCCAATACCATATATTCACAGTGGAACCAAAGGGCCCTTTCCAGTTCTACAGCATTTTAATATACACCTGCTTTGGCATTTAAATTTTGGTCAGGCAAAGCATGAGGATTTGGGGCCTCTATTATTGGAGACACTGCAGTGTTTTATAATGGTCAATAGATCTAAGAAACTTGAAAAACGTGTGTACATGCCCTTGTACTTTATTTCTTATTGTATACATTCACACTAATGAAGACTATAGGTTAAAAGATACTTGGTTTTGATTCACTCTGGTATTAAAAGGCATTATTGCACAATCCATTTGTACTTTCTTCTATTGTAGGACTACTTGGTTCTAACTTGTGAGATATAGTTACTGTTTTATCTATTACCTGTTTTTCACAAGTTTGCTTATTTCATCTGATTTATTCTTTTTGGAAAAGGCTGACACACCCTCAGTGACACAGCCACTACCTAGATGACAACTTTTACTCCAGCAGTAAGAAATACTGTTATTGAGATGCTTTATGGTTTGGTGCTGAAGCACATCAACATTCCTCCATTTCTCAGTTGATTTGCTTTAGGGTTGACTGCCTAGCAGGAATAAGTAGATCCAACAGCTCAACTTTGGCAAAGTTTATACAAACCTAGGAACAGTTTAAGAAACACCAGTGGCAATAAAAATGCTGTACACCTATTTACATGAAACAAGCCAAGGGCTAAAATTCTAATCAAAAAGATTCAAAAGTGGCAGAGAAAAAAAATCTCAGCCCCAAATTGGTTGGCTGCTGCCTAAAGAAATAAGAGTAAGAGCAAGCCCATGGTTGCCTGTATGCTGCCAGTCCCAAGAAACTGCCTCAGGCCTCCTCCTCCTCAGTGGATATTTCATATTCAGCCCAACCTCAAAGCAGTTGAAATATTAACTGTGTGCCACAGGCCAGATGCATATTGCCTGAGGGTACCCAGCACAGAACTATCTTTTTAAATGGCTGAGTAAATCATTGCCCCATTCTTGCTCTTATTTTGTGTCTCCCAAATTCTAATCTGTATGCGCCCATTATCTTGTATGTCAGGCGAAGTCTAACCTCTCATCACATATGAAAACTGCCTTCATCTATTTCAGCACCAAAAGAGATTCTAAATTCTGAAACTGAAATATATTCTACTGAGAGCTAACCCAGTGGTTAAGAGCGCAGGAAACCTGGGTTCTTCGCACTCGGCCGTGGTGCTCACTTCAGGCCAGTCAGACTCTTAGCCCAACCTAAGTCAAAGGGTTGTTGTTGCTGCTGCTGCTGCTGTGAGGATAATTTTTGCAGTGTAACAAAGGCCAGTGTCACTTTAATAAAAGTAAATAAAACCCAAGTACTTAGCAAGCTACTTTACAAGGAAACCTGTCCTATAAATGTCATATCAATCACCTTTATTTCTTAGTTCTTTCTAGCAGAGACCATGAGAGAGAAGCAGAAGCTGACTTAGAATTGTAATTGACAAGCCAGTATTATTAGAATCTAATCTCATACAAAAATTGGTTCTCCTTGAATAATTCACTATCATTTTCCATCAACAATTCAGATACAATTAAATCAGATTAAGTGGGGCATGGAGATCTGAGGATCACCCTTATTCTACAGTTGGGATACTGAGGCTCATAAAAGTGTGATTATGTAGGAGTCAGATTATGGTGTGTTCATACCTATTCAAATATAATAAATACACTAAAAAAGAATAGCAGAAAATCACCTCAGAATGTGGTTGTGAAAATGAAAGCAATAAAGTTTGTTAAAGCACCTAGCATTTCTAAAAACAAAGTCCTATGGAAATTATTAATACAAAATGCAAGCTTTTTCCTGAGGCAAATCATACTATGCAAAGGGAAACAAACCACATCAGAGGCTGCTCAATAAGTGAATGCTGGGTCCCATGTTCTTACATTATATGTGCACACGAAAAGCCCCCTAACCTGGCTGCAGCTTGTAAATAATTGCTGGAACAAGAAAGTTAAACATGAGTGAAAGCAAGAACAAACACTATTTATCAGTTCTGCAATCATTCAATAAATGTGCTTAAGACACAACTATGCAAACAAGTTTAATGTATTTTGAATACACAGGAAAGAAACAAAGCTTTGTGATTCACAAAAATATTACAAAAAGTAGTTTTGCGCAGGTGAGCACACCGGCACTGTGATAATGTAAGAATATACACATTAGAAACTAATATAAAATTTTAAAAACCTCTGCTAGTTTAGGTTTCCATTGGGTTTTTTGGTAGAAAAAAGGCATACTACAAAGTACTGAAAATCTCACTGCAGGAACGGCAAACCATTTTCAGACAGCATCTGCTGTGTCCATAACAGTTTTGTAGAGGCAAACAAACCACACACAAGCACGCGCGCACACACACACACACACAGATGAACTACAGAAAGGTTCACCTCAGCTGAAGCTCGTCAAAGCTGCCTCAGCAGTCAGAATTAAAAGTGGAGGAAGTCTAAGGATTAGTTCCTCCAAAAGTAAAATAACTCATTCTGTTCAAAGTTTGCTAGCACTACAGCCACCCATTATATAGAACTATAGTAACAACCAACAAGAGCTCTATCCCTTAAAAAAAGTTAGCAACCTTCCTGACTTTAATAGTAATCTCTGATTCCTATGGTGATAAAACAGTTTCAATAAGGGAATGTGCACTTTCTTCCACTTCAAGTGTGATACTGCTGCAATTTATTCCTTTAAACATTATCATTTGCTGTTTTTACCTGCAAGTGACATTCAGAACGGCTCAGACTGAACACCAGTTACACTTCAGTCTTTCACCCAGGTCCACCAAGTCAAACAAAATGGGGATGGGCCAGAAAGCACATGACTATGAGGTGCTTTTCTCTCACAAAGGCATTTTGTACTGTTAAATTGTACACTGTGATACCAGAAAAGACAGGCCTTGGACCGTGTCATTTATCAGCAATCAGAGCACAGGATCTTTCGAATTAACTCACTGTTTTATCACTTTAATAGGTTTTGCCAAGTCTTTACACAGAATTGAGTTTCTGAGCAGTGTTGAAAAGGAAGCTAGTAAAAAGAATACTTAAACCTGAGCCAACAAGCCCTGTAAGGCAACTGCACACTCAACTATCTCCCCAGGGTGTCAACTGGGCTGCCAGTGGCCACCCTCCCTTACTGCAGGCCTTCACAAATCTAGCTTACACTATCTGCAAGGCTCATGCTATCACCCTCCCTTTTCTCCTTTACATAGAAGGACAGTGATGAACACAGACCTTTGCCATCAGGGCCTCAAGAAAGAAAATGCAGTTGCCCACATTCTTCCACCCTCACTAGGAAACAAGCAAAGGAAACATTTGAGAGACAACATGTGGGGAAACTGACATGTTTACAAAGCCAGGAGAGTTAGCTGGCAACCAAATTCTTGTTTGCGCTTTTAATTGAAATTATTTTCTGAAATTAAATTGCACATGATGAAGCACTTTAAACGCCCCCCCACACACACACTCACACACACTGGCATCCACTAAGCTATTCTGCTATCAGAGACTTTGCTTTTCAGCAGTGAATCCCAAAGCAGAGAGATGGAGAGCATTTTTCAAAATACGTACACAACTCCCTTATTTGCTGGCTGGTTGAAAGTAGCAAAGGCACACCTTTATGACAGCCTAGGAATGATAGTACAAAGCTAATGTACTACTTATTAAGATTTTATGGTCTTTAAGCAATTTGAGAAAAAGAGAACTGTATATGAAATGAAGGGGAATCAAAGTGCATCAAGCTCATAGGTTAATTGCCTGAGAGGCAGGTCAGACTATGGGTTCCTTTTAAAATTCTCTTCAGCTACAGGCTCATTTTCTGTCTGACATTTTGAATGCCCGGCAAAGGAAGTTTTGAAAGAGTAAATGATGATGGGAAAGAAACACCACAGTAAGTTAGAACTCTGAAGAATATGAAGGTATTCTTTCTTTCTTATACATTATGACAGTGGTAGTATTGGGGAGCAAAATTAAATATTAACACATTTTTGCCTCAAGCCAATAAAAACAATTCTGCAATTCTTTTGTACCATGACCCTTACTTTTCTTTATGTATCTGGATCATGCACAAAGGATTTTTCCGATGAAGTATTTTTTTTCTATGGCTGCTGAAAAAACGAGTACAATGGGATGATGGAGCAATCTCTGTAGAACCACAGATGTGAAATCCAGGCTTTCATCTGTCATACTAGGGCCTAACACATCCAGGTCTGCAAAGTGAAGTGACTGTGTGGAGTGCAGTGTTAAATATGCTGCAGAAGACTACATTATGCATAGAACATTTCTGCTCTAGTGTCATCTGTCTTGCTGGGGAGACCAAATACAGAGCTACCCATCAGAAAAAAATGCGTAAGATGTAAACTGGGGGTGTGTACAGAGGTGCATAAAAACAGGAGACACCACAATTTTGTTTGCTCTTTTAGTGACACACATACCTGTCTTTGCAGTGAACACTAGATTTTTCTGATCAGTTTGGCACTATCCCTCACTCTCCTGGTGAGCTACCCTTTTTGCACTTTTGATGCTTAAGATCCTGCTTGTTGCAGGATTATTCATTTCAACTATCATATACGGTTTGATTTATTTTTAAATGTCCCAACTGTATGTTTTGAAGCTGAAAACTGTTCCAGACCAAGGGTTTTCATGATATCACAAGCATTCATTCAACCAATACTCTGTACAACCTCCATGGCTTTAGATTAACAAAACTTGTTCCTCTCCCCTGAGCTCAATCCTTACAAGACTGCAGTTGACAACAGTTGTGAATATTCCTTCAAGAGGAGTGGCTGCTGTTTTTATATTTAATGTCCATAAATTTTAATGTTACGGTAGGGAGGCAGAAAAAAAGAGAAAGGGACATGAAGGAAGACTAAGGGTGGAGGTCTTTGTGAGAATTCTTATTGCTTTTATGGGGCTTGGCTCCTGAGTACAACAGTGCATGTGGCCAGACACCTGCAGCTGGATGGAGTCTATTATATCTTGCCTTCCACCTGACCAGTCTTTTGCTCAAACTTCTATAGCCTCTTGATCAGATGCTAATTTACAATATCTTCATAGTTAGATAGTAAACCCTCAGGAATGGCTCTTTTGCTACTATTTGGTCTGGTGGCTAGGTTAGTACTGTCCAAGCACATGACTGATGCAACAGCTGCACTGAAAGTTAATAATTGTTGCAGCAACCCAGGAAGGGTGTTTACAACTCCAGGTGCTGAAGGGATTAAGGAGCAGGTGCAAACCAACTGAAGAGCAGCCAAAGCTCCAATTTCCTGTAAACCACTTCAGTAACTAGCAAGGGGAGACCAAGAGCACAGAGCAAACCTTCCAGCCTTGTCTCAAAAAAAGAACACGTGGTCATCTTAACTGAACACAGCAGAAATGCTTGCCTGTGGAATGTTACTTAGATACAGTAAGTTGGCGAGACCAGGCACCATTCCATTAAGTTCTCTGTAGAGCTGACAAGAAGAGCACCCAACAGTAACTGCCATAAATTGTTACTGATTAAACAATATATATCAAAGTACCTTACCTATGATTTAGCAAAGAAGTAATTTGTGGATAGTTTTAGGCAAATATGAAATATGAAAAACTTGAACCAATTTTTCTTGGTGGACAAAATGCTGAAAAGTTTCTGTCAGAATGAAACATCCGTGTGAATTTTGCAACAGACCATCATGAGCCTTAGTAGATAGTAGCCTAATCTCTACCTCACAGATCCTGAAAAATCCACATAAATCCTGTCTTTTTAAAAAATCCTGGTTAGCATTTCACAGTACAGTATTCTGTGAATTATTCCACAATTTCTTTCATTCGTCAGACAGGAAACCACTCAGCATTTTCCTCTATCAAAAGGGGGAAGTGACTGATGACTGGCCCATAGAGAGGACTGAATCTGACAGTGTAGCTTTGCAAAGCATTGTGGCACTAATTAATACAATGGAATAAAAAGATTTCAAGATTAACTTTAGATGATCTTGATAATTTATTCTTTGAAAAAATGCTAAGGGCTCTTTTGATTATATATAAGAGCGTTATGATGGCTATAAATCATTGAAAAGGATAACAATGGCGACTAGACTTGAGGACTGTGTATTTCCTCTTGTATTAGAATCAGTATGCCCCTAAATTCTAGTTGCTGGGTCACATGGGCAGGAAGGTGCTACTGCATTCATGACTTGCTTGTGGGCATCCTATCAGCAACTGGCTGGCCATTGTAGGAACAGAGTGCTGGATTAGAAAGGCCTTTAGTTTTATGTAATACTCACACACACTTCTATAAACAGGAAATTAGGTGTCAAGGAAAAGGATTCAAGCCTAGTTTTCTTCCTGGCATACCAGCAGTTATGTGCGGAACGCCTTTTTCACAGAGAAACAAGGAAACCCATTATAGACCCCTTTACAGTCTGAAGCAGAGCAGTCAAGAGAAAAGTTTACTATTTCAGTTGCTGTTTGTGAGAACTAGGCCTAACAAAAATGCTTTTGGTGGGGGAAATAAACAATTCAGTAACATTCAACTGATTGTTAGTATAGTTCACAGTGACTCCCTTTTGCATTTCCACAAGAACACCCTATTGTTTAGCCCACTTCAGTTTTTTAGTCTTGTTTTTACATTGTGCTTAAACCTTTAGTTACAGGTTGTTGGTTAGTTCTGCTTGCATTAGAACATAAATTTGGATCATATGCACAACTGCAACACAACAACTCCCCAAACACTATCAATTAAAGGTGTGAATATATGCTGAGACAAAGAAAAGTCCTGACTTCCAGCATGCCCAGACTAGCTATACTGGTTGGGGCATGCTGGGAATTGAACTTTTTGTCATCTCAACATGCATAGGACTGTGCCTTCAGTGACTTCCAAAGCACTTTTGTCTTGTAATCCCTAAATATCAGACCAATGCATTGTGCTGTCTGAAGTCTTAATATGAAAGATGGGCAATACAAAATAGTTTCTTATGAGCTACAGCATGTCCACAGCTCATATGTTGCTCATATTTGCTCTAGCCAAGGCATCATCACATGGCTGGTCCTCTTTAGAGCATGTCTGTCATTTCTAAGCTACCTGCAATGGGGAAGAGTCTTTTTAAGCATCAGAAAAATACTGGAATTTTATTCTGGACAACATGGTTCTGTCCCAGACGTTAAGCTACAGATCAGAACAGCTGAACATCTGGAGTTTGGAATGGGTTCTCATATTTTAAAGCAGAGCTGCTATCTTGGCTCACATCTTTTGTGCTGGGTAGCCAAGTACAAAGAAAATGGTTTTTTTAATGGATCCCCTGCCCATTAAAAAAAAATCTATAAAAGCAAGGTAAGGGTGTAATCCTATCCATGGTTAGATGGAAGAAAAGTCCTACAACTCCCAGCATTCTATAACCAGACCTTTTTCTATCTAAACAAGTATAGGACTGCAGACTAAACATGGCAGTTGGAACGACAGCCTAGCTGAAGTTTGCTTTATTCCATATTGGTGCTGATGAAGTGGAGCTAATTCCAGAATATAGATTTCTGCTTCTGCAGTGAGCAATTTAATATATGGTGGTAGTGAAATGAGCTAGAGAGCTAGTACTACTTAAGTCTCGCTTAAGAAGTCAGTTTAGCTTCTGGTAGGAACAATGTCAAAGTTTGCAAGGAAGTACTTTAGAAATACAGTTTTGCTGTCATAAAACCAAGCCATCAATACTGAAGATTAATATCTGTGTTTGCAGGACTACATGGATGGCATTTCCAAAGCATTCCAGAATGGCCTGACTCAATAGCCAATAGAAATCATTGTTTTCTAAGCTGATTTAAATACAACAGCCTTTCAGACTTCTCTTTACACATGAACTATTTCCTGTTTCTTTGCAGTCTGAGACAGGGAAGCCTTGCAGAAATCTACAACAAACTTCAGGAGAGGTGTTTTATCGGGAATGTTAAAAGAAGGACTGGTTGTATTAAGACAGAAAATAAGCGCAACCATCAATTCACTGTGTAGTTCTACAAGTCCAAGGTAAAAAGCCTTTACGTCTAATTGCCCACTTACTTTCCTCTTTTATTTGTGCTCAACAGGAGCAACTGAAGAAACCTGGGCCTGTTCTGGCCTATTGCCCCAATGCGCGCACACAGAGAGATGTTTAAACCTACAATCCTACACACACTCAACTGGTAGCAAATCTCACTAGATACAGTTGAGCTTTCTTGTTCTTATGATAAATCAAGTGAGGAATTTACTTTCAAATACAGTGCTTTTACGTCTCATATTTAGATTCTAAACCCTAAGGGGGCTGGGGGAAGGCACTATGCCCTTTCAAGAGTAACAGAACTCATATTGAAGGATGAATTCTGGTCAGGAAAAGCCTGGATGATCAATGAATTTTGGGGTTACACCAGAAAAATGTGTGATGAAACAAAGGCAGATGAGGCATACATATCCTGAACTAAGGCAGCAGGGAGTTCTGGAGCCAGCTAAAATAAGAAAATTATTATTACAGTGACTATTCATAGTTAAATACTTCTTTCTCTTTGTCTCACTCTCACTCACACACTTGTACAGGATATTCAGAGTTCAGCCACAAAAAAGGAGAAAGCCAGGTATACTGGAAGAGTTCAGTTCTTTCTGGACTGCTATCGGATAACCCCTCCTCTGTTTGCAGTGGTTGAGCAGCAATATCTTGTATTTGCAGGAAGAACTTTTACTGCACTAAATTATCCCATGAGTCACTGGGCAGCACACAATAACTTGTTGCTTGTGGGTTTCTGTTGGCTTTAATGGAGCGGGTTGTCAAATACAGCATCAGGCAAGATGGAGACTTTCAATTTCTTTTCAGGCCAACTATACTCCTTTGGAAGTTTGAACTAAAAAGTAAAGAAATTAGTTATTAGTTAAAATACTTTACCACGATCTGGAACATGCAAAGCATACAAAATAATAGCATTAAAGACAGTAAGAGCCAAGGTTTCAAGCAAATAAAGAAAACTTTTCCAATGAGTTTATCTGGGACAATTGATTGCATAGTCAAGTATTGTTCCTATCATCACCCCTTGCCTGCACATCATTTGTTGTCCTACTTTGTTTTCTTCTGGTTCACCAAGCCCTCTCAAATTCTTTTTGTTTGCTTAAAAAGGCACAAGGGAATTAATCTAGAGGTTTTCTAGCCTTTTCATATATGTGTACAACAATTCAGGATTCCATAGCACGTAGAGTCCAAGACAATGGGCTGAACCCAGACTAAGTTAGTTCCTTATCATTCTGTCCCCTTCCCCCACCTCCTCTTTTCTTCCTCTTTCCCTCTGCCTCTGGCCAGCATTTAAATGCACCTTTGCAGTTGATCCTGTTCCGCCATGTCATTGATTTTCTGAGGATTATGTTTTAGGTCAGTTGGTTGCAACTTTCAGGACTGCTGGTAGTTTGTGAGCAGCTCATCAGTCATAAAGGAAAGTATTGTAGGCAGGCAGGCAAAGTCAGAGAGGTAAGCATGTAAGTAGTATCTTCAGGGATATACATATGGGTCCCATCCATCCCTCTCTCCCATGCTAACAGCTGATCATCCTCTGTTATGGAAAATGAAGGTCTTGAAACAAGAAGTCACCATACTGAGGGATGTGGAAACAATGCCTTAGAAGAGACCCACTTCTTGGGTGGTTGTTAACTTATGGGGATCAAGTGAGGGTTTGATGGTGAGAGATTTGATAGTTGATGGGAGAGAAAGAGAAGGATGTATTGTCAGCCTTTTTGTGGAATTGCATGCTAGATAGTGCAGCAGAAGAATCAGTGAATGTTGGAGACATGTTTTCTCTCCCACATTCAGGGAGAGCTGTATCAGCAGAATTTTAGAGTTTCAATCCATGGATACAACAGTTGTGTCAGGAGGAAGAATTATTTATGTAGGGAATTTCTGTTACACTATCAAGCAAAGGCCTCTTCTGATAGCTATTTGCTAGATACTGAGAAATGTTTTGCAACAAGCTAAACTGGCACTTAAACTCATACCAGACCACTGGTGCTTAACATAAAAAGGCACAGAACAGCTTTTAAAATTCAGCTTCTCAGGAAAAGCCAACAGGAGTCGAGTAGTGTTAAATATGATATGAATTATCCCTTAGAGATGATGGTGCAAATTTTTCTTAGGTGAAATAAAGGATAGAGTACAACTTGGCAATCAGTATTCAGAGAAAAATGGTAGCTAAGATCACAGAGTCAAGGTGCAATAACAAAAGGCCATTTGAAGAGAGATGCAGTGTGTCTCCAAACCAAGATGGGATAGCTGAAGTGCTTGCTATAAAAGGAGAACTTAGCTATCCTGAGCATATCAGCTATCTATTGCAACAGGGAAGGCTAATGAGAAATCATCATCACTGGGTAGAAAAATATGTAGAAATATTTATACCAGGTGCTGTGTTTATCTAAGAGGAAAATATTCAACAAATTAAAAACCTAAAGGAAAACATACTCTACAGAATTATTGTGGGTGAAAAGAACAGTATTTTCACTTCTCTGCTAAAAACTCCAAGAGTGCTCATAGGATGCGAGGGGAGAGCACAGGGGCAGCCAAAGGAGAAAGCAATTTCAACTTCCATCCCATTAAGAGTTAAAGCATCTCCAGTTTTGTTGACTTTTGACTGCCCCTCAAAATGTTATGTTTTTCATGCAAATCCTTGAGTCGGAAAAGACTTGTGCAGACATGCCCTCTCCTTCCTGACTGGTTTTAAGGTTCCCAGGAACTGAGCTTGCCCACTGGTCACAGCTCAGGAAACTCACAGCTTGTAAGAGCAAAGGAGCTATGTAATCCTTTAGCTTCTGTGATCAAAAGCAAGGGAAGCTCTCTGATCCCAGTGAACTAAAATGTAGGCAGAGTTGTTTAATATACTCTCTATAATCTTTGCTCCTAGCCCGCATGACTAGAACAAATCCCATCCTGGCCCTATCTACACTCACATAAGCTAAACACACAGAAGGATAGCAAAGGTACTTTGCCGAAGTGTGCAATCATTCTGAATGGGATCTTTATTGAGCTAGATTAAATAAGTTTTGGAATTATATTATTTATGTAAAATTAATGTATTCAAATTAATTTAAATAATATTAAAATAAAGAAATGAAGAAATCATTGAATATGGAAGGCATAACTCAGATTTTACAAAACTCAGGAGTGAAATGGTTGATCTCCTTTACCAGCTCTGCTTAGTTTACCAGCTAAACCATTCCTGGAGAGGGATTGCATGGCCATAGTGGTTCACACTCTGATAACCTCCTGATCAGATTATGATAATATAATGACCAGACATTTTTAAATGATTTTATTTTATGCAAGTTAGTGTCTATTTTATGCATTTCTTGCTTCTTCTTGCCTTGTTATTGTATTGTTATTATTGTGTTACATTTTACATTGTGTATCTTCCCTGGTATTGTAAATGGGTAGTATAAGATATATAGATGGGTAGTATAAAATATTTAAATAAATAAAAATAAAACATCAGCTTGCCACTAAAACAAATTGCATTACAAGAAGTCAGCAAATGAGCCAGTATTTTTTAAAAGGAAATTCAAAAGGAAACAAGAAAGTTCCAGGCCCATTAACTTAGCATCTGGGCAATCAAAACTGTCAACAGGTTGGAGCACCTTTCCTATAATAAAAGGTAACATTCTAGGAACATTTTAATTTAGCAAAATATGCTTAAGTGGGGACTATTTATAAAATAAAGAAAGAATTAGGGTACAATCAAATGCCCTTGATGCACATAAGCCTTAAAACATAGAGACTTACATGCATTCAGTATAGGGTATAAGGTGTGGTAGAAGCAACTTGTGCCATTCTGTGCTCTGTATTTAATCTAGTTAACCATTTTCTGCAGTCTAAAGGAAGCACTGCAAAAGGAGGGAAAGAGGCTGGAGCAATATTTAAATACAATGCAAGGCACTGGCCCCAGCCTGCTATCTTCTCTGCACCCAGCCTGCTCCTATACTTATTTATTTATTTATTAGATTTCTAACCCATCCCATTAGCTGCATGGCTCCCTGGATAGGCTACAACAATGCAACCATGCAATACAATGAAACATTAAAACAATAAAATAATAAACTAATAAAATGTTCCCACTTAACAGAAATAATAATTTAATGAAAGCCATACCCCCTCTCGAGGAGGCTAATTTCTGACAGTTCTTCCGTAACAACTGTAGGAGGGGAAGCAGGACAAGGCAGGACTGCAGTATGTGGAATCCCAACCCCAAGGTCGCAGGACCTTAGAATGGGAATTCTAAATAATCCTATGTCCCCACTCCTGAAATTATTAAAGTGATCATAGGATTGCACCTTGTTTATAAAAACTGAATTGTAGGGGAAGAGTAGAACGAAAAATCTTCCTCCGCCTCATATAACGCTAAAACTCACGGTCACTTAATGAAATTGAATGGCAGTAGAATCAGGATATGAAAAATACAACACTTTTCATCTAAGAATAAATCTGTGGAATTAACTGCCACAATATATGGTGATGACCACTAGCTAGTGAACTTTAAAAGATTCAGACAAATGCCACCCAGAGTTATTAACATGTGAGAATGACTAGTATAACTTGCACAATAGCCTAACTTTCCAATTGAATACAGCAATTTTAGCTGTATTCCGCATTAAACAGTTAAAGTAATCAAGACTGTTTTGGCAACAGAAGTGGGGAATGCTATTTTACTAGCAGACAACGTAAAATTGGAGTCAACAGGAGTCCTACAAAGGACATTAATAATTTTGCATGACATGGGTAAACATCAGAGAGGACACTCTTATGGCCTACACACGAGAAACCATTAGCAGTCCTGCAAAGGGGTCATACAGCTGACAGAGCCTGTTACCACAATGCAATTCTTTATAGAGCTAGCAGCTTTCTGTTAGTGAAAAGCTACAGAAAACTCCATCAAAGCAGGCCAACATTTATATCTATATTCAGTAGAATATTAGGGCAGCAGTCCCATTAGAACATCAATAAAACATAATTGGCTGCCACATGAGAAGCTAGGATAGATGTACTGAAGGAGACCATCCAATTTCTGCCAACCATGGATACTCTGGGTGTACAATCCTCAGGTTGCTGCTGTATTGGGCTGTATGAGCAAAGAAAACTTGTGCCATGAAATCAGGCAAAACCAAGAACCTCAGTAAATCAAGAAACTGAATATAGAAAAAAACCCTTGGGTATTAGAGTTGCACAGACTTACTTCCTCTGGAGAATTCAGATCTTCTAGGTCTTCCAGCATTCTTTCCACAAACTCTTCAGTCAGCAAGATCTGCAAAAGAAAGAGACAGTACGTTTATTCTTTTACGCTCCAAGTTTCACCTAATTGCCAAGCAACAGATTCCTTACTAGTCCACAGAGAAGGAACACTACTGTGTTGTTTTTTCAGCAATTCACAAAGGCCTTGGAGGTCTGTTTGCTTCTTCCTGTAATACCTACAAAATGGTGCAATTATTAGGGAATCTAGTTGTATCATCAATGATCTTCCTGTGTCAAAACTAAAGGCTTTGATTTAGAGATGAAGAAAAGCTAAGAATTGTGAAAAGAGATCATATTATCTGAAAAGGAAGGCAGTAAGAAATATGATGGGCCTTTTTCCCTCTGACACACCAAAAAGCTAGCTTTAGGCTTCAATGAACAGATGGGAGGAAGAGCAGCAGCTAATACTAGCTTTGAAATACTTTCCTAGAATGAACAATCTAACTTTCACAGAACTTCTTTGTTAAACCATGCCCACAGTGGCAGGCCATACTCCACCATTTATGGGAGTTCAGAAACAAAGGATGTACCCATATCTGTTCCAAGCTCAGAACAGGTTCCTTTTTCAAGAGTCAGATTAACCAAATATACCAGGACATTTAGATACAGTAATACAAGCTCCATGCTGCCTGCCCATATCTTCTCACACAGGAGTTCCTATGGCATGGTTTTTAATAAGGCTGAATATGTCAGCGATTAACAACTATACCTTTTACACTGTACTTAAACTCAGCATTGCTCCTGCAGTGACTGCACCATACTACACTAGAAATCACATCCATTTGATGTGCATGATATTAAAGGTGACATCTGCAGCAAATCAACATCACAGGCTGTCATAGCTCTAGGCGCCTCATTTAATTTCTTCTGGGATTTAGAAGCTTAGAAGTTGAAATTGAACAAATAGGCTCTTGTTCTTTGAAACATTTCAGCTTGAACCAAGCACCATCTTTTGAGAATATATAAGAGCTCCTATCGACAGGACACTGTGGAACAAGAATAGACAATTTATTCCCCTAAGAAAGAAATGATCTAAAGCAGCAATGGGAAAAACTGTAATATACAGAGACCAAGTTAAATCATTTCATGCTCATTCAAAACCCCAAGAGGACCATTTCTCCCAGGAAAACCTTTGGCTGTAACCGAGACAACAAACAGGCCCAAGAGTATCAGGTAGCAATTTCTATGGGGATTTGAAAAAAACTGCAACATTTCCAATACTTCTGGAAGCATTGTGCAAATATGTCCCGTCCCACCAGCCTGTTGTAACTGGTTTCTCATGTTGAGATACGGTTCTGAGTTTGTATGGAAACTGTTTGCAAAACATACCTCCTGTGCTCCACCTTTAGCAACTAATGAAAGAAATGCCCATGTTAGGATTTTCATGGTGTATACTCCCAACAGTGTGAATGTTCACAAATTCTAGTTACTTGGATTACACTACTTCACTTTCCAGACAGAATGTTATATATTGCCCTGTTCAGGCATAATGCTGTAAAATGTGGAAGAGAAAAGACCATATTCATTCCACCATTATCACTTCCCTGAATTCTCATTTCCTGTGTTTCTACATGTGATAATTTAAGTCTCAAGGTTCCTGCTCAGTTATAGTCTTCTGCGTATGAGCAAGCCAAATGCATATAAGAGAGTCCTTCCAAACCTTTCCACTCAACTTAGACAGTGCAGCAGGGACAAAGACAGCATGCTTGTCTCTAAGACACATACTACAATTCCCTGTTCAGGTACGATGTCAAACAAGGATTATGTTGCTAGCAAAATAGGTAAGAGAAGAACATGTAAGTAAAGTTCCTGGAAATTTGGCCACAACACAGTATCCAGATATGGAAAAGGCATTAATAGTAGCCAGACATGGGTTTCAAGGAAGCCCACAGCAAGTAATGAAAACCACCTGCTATTTGTCCATTCCTCACAAACAAGTAGTAATCAGAGAAATGCAGACTCTGAACCTGGAGGTTCTATTTAGTAATCAGTGATAGAGATGTCATCCATTATTTTCTCAAATACATTTTAAAACTATCTAAGCCTGTTGCAATGACATCTTGTAATAATGAATTTCACAAATGAAGATTGCGCTATGTGAAATAGTATCTTGCCTTCTGTCCCTAAGTGTCATTTGATGTCCTAATTTCACTAGTTACTTGTTCCATTTAATGTTCACTTTGGGTCTCTTCTTCCTAAACCAAAAAAGCCCAGTGCTTTAACTTTTCCTTGTAGGGAATATTCTCCAGTCCCTTGATCATTTCCATTCCCCTTTCAAACATTTTTCCAACTCTATAGTGCTGCTTCACACAGAGCAATGAGAACAGGTCAATGCACAGTGACCCGATACACATGTTCACCAAGGTTTGTTTCAGCTGCAGCACATATTCTAAATATGCAGACTCCTCAACAGAAGCACCATAGGTGACAATACCTGACCCCAAAACTTGATCATGAGATGGAGAATGAAATCAAGGTAGCCTCAAACAAAGGCAATGCTATAGTAATGGGTGACTTCAAACATCCATACATTGACTGGATAAATGCCAGTTCTGACAGACAAGATAGAACAGTTAGTTATGGAATCAACCAGAGGGGAGGCAATTCTAGATTCAATTGTAGGTGGGGTTACCCACAACATAATATGGAATATAAATGTTGCTGAATCAACTGGAAACAGTGACTGTGGTGGTATCATGTTTAATATACAGTTAGATGAAAGATTGGTAAAGAGGTCCAAGCACAGTTGTGTTTGATTTCTAAAGAGGAAATATTCTCAAATATGAGAGAACTGGTAAAAAAAAGAAGTTGAAGAAGGTAGTCAAAAGGGTTAAAATCCCTTCAAAATGCTTGAAGATTTTTCAGAACCACAATAATAGACACAGATAGTATGCATACCACAAGTTAGAAAAGTTAGCATGAAGTCCAAGAGATCACCAGCATGGTTAACAAGTAGAATCAAGGAAGCTATTACAGAGAAGTTTTCCTTCAAGAAACCGAAATCTTGCTCAAATCAAGAAAATAAAAAGGAGCACAAACTTGTTCAAAGGAAATGTAAGCAGACAATGAGAGACAAAGAATAACTTTGCATAGCATATTGCTAACACCATCAAGGCCAACCATTAACAATTCTTAATACCAGAAGAATAAAAGCAGCTAGAGCAGTAGTTGGACCACAGGATGAAAACAGAATAAAGGAACACTAAAGGGGTACAAGGAAATTACAGAAAAGCTGAATGATTCCCCCCCCCCATTTGTCTTCACAGCAGAGGGTACAGAACAGATACCCATTCTTGAACCTAAGTATTCAGGAAGGAAGTCTGAGGAATTAAGACAGATAGTAGTGACGAAAGGTGAAATTCCTGACCTTATTGACAAACTAAATGTTAATAAATCAGCAGGCCAGATGGTATCCATCTTAAAATTCTTAAAGAACTCAAATATGAAATTGCTGAACTTCTTACAAAAATAATTACTATGTCCCTAAGATTAGCTTCTGAACCAGAGGACTGGAGAATGGACAATGTAACATCAAATTTTAAAAAGGGATCTGGAGAGAACTGGGGAATTGGAGGCCAGTTACTTTAATGTATGATCTGGGTAAATTGACTGAAAATATGATTAAAAATAGAATCAGTAAGTACACAGAGGACAAGCCCTGATGAAAAAGAATAGAATGGCTTCCATTAAAGGAAGTCATGTTTCATTAACCTATTGGAGTTCTTTGAGAGAGTCAGTATGAACATGGACAGGGTAATCCAGTAGACATTGTTTACTTGGCTTTTGACAAATCCTTTTACTAAAGACCCCTGAACAAATTTAACAGTCATGGAATAAAAGCAGGGGGAGGGTCCTCTAATGGACTGGTAATTGGTTAAAGAAGAGAAAGGGCAGAGAGTGGGAATAAGTGGTAATTTCTCTCAATGGAGGGATGTGAACAGTGGGGTCCCACAGGGTTCTGTATTGACCAATGTTTCTTAGGAGTTATTAAGTATTAGGAATAAGCAGTAAAGTGGCCAAGTTTGCTGATAACACCAAATATTTATGGTGGTTAAAACTAATAGTTCCAAAGGGATCTCTCTAAGTGAGAGAATGGACATCCAAATGGCAAATGCAGTTCAATATATAAAAGTATAAATGTTGGGGCAAAAAATCTCAACATCAAGTATAGACTGATGGGATTGGACTGATCAAGAAAGGGATCTTGGGGTAGTACTGGACAGCTTGATGAAAATGTCAACCCACTGCATAGTTGCTGTGAAGAATCCAAACATTGAAGCATAATTAGGAAAGGAACTGAAACAAAAACTGCAAGTTTGTACTCCTTTTATACAAATCAACAGAACAACCACACTTAAATATTGCATGGTTGCTACACCTGAAAAAGGACATTATTGAGTTGGAAAAAGTGCAGAGAAGGGCAACTAAAGTGATGAAAGGGTTGGACAGCTCCCTGATGTGGAATGGTTACAACAACTGGGATTATTTAGTTTAGAAAGGTGGCAAATAAGGGGAGACCTGAGCTGATCGGTGAGAGATTCACTACAGATAAGAAGACGTGCTTCTTCACACAGCACATAGTAAAACTATGGGATTCATTGCCATAAAAAGTAGTGATGGCCACCAATTTGTATCATTTTAAAAGGAGATTGGGCAGATTCATGGAAGAGGAGGCTATCAATGGCTATTAACCTAGTTAGCTATGTGCTATCTCCATTATCAGAGTCATGCCAGTCTACACCAGCTGCTAAGGCCTTTGGGCAAGTGGAACTCTTGTACCCATTCTGGTTGTGGGATCATGTAGGCAGCTGGTTTGCCACCATGTGAATTGATTCCATTGCTCTAATCCAGAATGACTTTTCTTATGTTCTTATGCACAGTAACATGGAGCAGCATGATTAATTTAATTATAAATCAGGGAAAATCTGGGGGAACAAGTCTGCTTTAGGAAGTCATTTGAGGCACATTTTTTTTGCCACCTGAACTTCACAGAGGAGGGTCTTTCCAAACGCC